TCATTTGACATGTAATCTATATAAAAATTCTCAAGCAGTTAGACGTCTTTTATTTCATATGAAATCTTTGAAATTGGCGTGTGTTTTCCACCGATAGCACCTCTCACTCTGGACGACCACATTTCAAACGCTCAGTGCCCCTGTGGCTACTGGCAAATGTGTTGGGCAGTAATGGCTGTAACGGGTGCACAGAGTGATATCCCACAGACACAGAAGAGTACATACGGTGTAGTCCCCCTTATCTGCGGCTTTGCTTTCTGTGGTTTCAGTTAATCATGGTCAACCACGGTTCAGAAATATTAAATCGAAACTTCCAGAAACAACCAATTCATAAGTTTTAAATTGTGCACTGTTCTGAGTGCTGTGATGAAACGTCAGGCCATCCCGCTTCGTCCCTCCTGGGGTATGAATCATCCCTTTGTCCCGTGTATCCATGCTCTACTAGTATGTACAGTACAGTAAGATATTTTGAGAGAGAGAGAGACCACAGTCACATAATCTTAATTACAACATATTGTTATAATTGTTCTATTTTACTATTACGTATTGTTAATCTCTTACTGTGTCTAATATGGAAGTTAAACTTTATTATAGGTAGGTATGTATAGGAAAAACATAGTATATATACGGTTCGGTACTACCTGTGGTTTTCAGGCATCCACTGGGGGCCTTAGAATGTATCCCCCATGGATAAGTGGGGACTGTGGTATTCAGGCCCGTCGAGAGCCAATTATTTAAAAGGATCATGCTTCTTGCCTGCTTGAGCCTTGGTCAGCTCTCCCTTCTCCGGATGGAATTCCGCCGGTGCTGTCGTCTGTCCAGCCCCATCTCACACCCTCCCGCCCTCTGCCCCACCAGGCTGACCTTCCCTTCCTTCCTCAGACATGTCACGCACCTGGATTCCAGCCTCTGAGCTCCCATGTATGCTGTTCCCATGGCCCCCTCCTCCACCCCTTCCCTTTGCCTGGCTTATGCCAAGCCATTTCTCAGGTTAAATATTAATTTTTCAGGGAGGTCTTTCCTGATCCCCCTGCTGCCAACTGTAGACTAGATTATTTTTCTGTTTGATGCTGTCGGTGGGCCGGGGAGTCTCTCTCTCCTCAGCACCTACCACGATCACAGTGATGTAGTTATCAGTGAGATAAACGGCTAGCGTTTGTTTCTCTGCCCCATTGGAGGGTGTGCTTCAGGAAGGTGAGGGCCGTGAATGCTTTGTTTGCTTGTTTCAGCCACAGCGGCTCGTATAGTGGCTGCAGAAAATAGATGATCAATAAATATGAGGTGGATGATGCAGGGCTGAGATTCCGTCTTGTAGAGTAACCGGGACCCCGACCCCCCGAGGACGCAGACCCCTGACAGTGAGGCCAGAGGGCCAGCCCCCCGTCAGCGCTGGATCTCCTGCTTTCTCTTCAGCAGAGTCAGCCTCTCCCCGATTCTCTCCTGACTGGCTTTCGGTTGCCTGTAAAATTATATTTTTGGTGGCTGTTAATAAAAATATAGGGCTGAGGAAAAAAAAAAGACTTCTCCTAATAGAATTTTATTAAATGGCACTAGTTTAAAAATGTCTCGTAAAAAGTTAATTAATTTGGGATTTGGGGATGAAAGGCGTGATATAAATGTCAGTTATTATTATTACAATTTCAGCCTCACGCTCACGCTCTTGATCCAGCCCCTGATCTGGAGTTCCTCCGACACCCGGGGACTGGCAGCTCTGCTGAAATGCCAGAGGCAGATTTGAGCTTTGGGGCTCCATCGGGGACAGAGGGGGCCTTTGCCAGGGTACGCGGTCCTGCCTTTTCACCCAGGATCTCGCAAGACCTTGAGAGCTAGTGCCACCGACACGGGGCGAAGCTGCTCCGAGCGGGATGGGCTCGGGCACTCTGGGGAGCTCCCGGCCGAAGCAGCCAGGAACATGAAGGTCACGTGCCTACTCTGAGCCCGGGCACAGAATCCTGGGATGGACGAGCTGCCAGGGCTCTGAGAAATTTAACAGGGACAGAAACTGAATTTGAAGAGGGGCTGTGGCTCGCCTAACCCAAGGTCACATAGCAGGTTAATTAAATTTATGGAGAAAAAGGCAATGAAAGCCATTAGTGAAGTAGGGGAAACCTTCCAAAAAAAAAAAAGATTCAGGCAATTTATAGGTGACAAGTCTAGAAACTGTTTTCCAGGGAAATAGAGTCCTGGGACTCCCTGTGAGTTCACAGAGGCAGACAGCCCTTCCCACCTTCAAGACATCCCACCCTCATTTCCCTGGCTGCAGGCTGACCCGGAGTGTAATTACTTCCGAGAGGTGGGGGGCAAGCTGGGATGTTAACCATCCCACAGCCCTTTATGTTTCTCTACCGGTTATGGGCCAAGGAGTAAGGATTTGTGCGTGTCCGCCTTTCCTAAGTGGGGTGTGGGAATGCCCCCTGCAGGGGTGTGATGGGTCCAGGTGGGTGGAAGAGTATGTGCTTCTGTGCCGTGGGAATGGCACTGTGCAAGCTGGGGGTCTCATGCTCTTGGACCGATCCGTACTCACTGAGCTGAGAGAGAGACCAGCATCTGGTTGTCAGGGCAACCTTACTGGACACCTGCTCCCACTACAGGATTCCTGACCAGGCTGCTTGTGTCCAGTGATAGGACCCACCTGCTTCTTCCCTGCAGCCCATTCATTCTTTTTTGCGTGGTTCTGGGAAGGCCTGCCTCCTCCTGACTGTCCATGGCCCTAGAAATCCTGCTTCGGTTTTGAGGATTCATTGAAGGTGTCTCTCTCTCCCCTTCCAAGTGGAGGCCTGCTGTTGCCCACAGCGCTCTTCACTCGTGTAGTGTAGGTAGAGTGCCTGGTTCAGGGGGAGGTGGGGGCGGCGGGGCTTGGGAGGGACTGTAGGATGAAGGGAGGAAGCAAGCCCGTGCCCATTTGACTGTCCTGAAGAAGTATCTGTCCGGGGGCCTGTTGGTTGGGATTGTCCAGAGAACTTGTGACTCAGATGGAGCTGGATTTGAACCTGGGCTCCTCCCCTTGCACAGATACTTCATCTCAGTAATTGTTTCCTCATCTGGACAGTTGAGATGTGGAATGCTGCCCCACAGCATTATGGTAAGGATGAAAACAGGCGATGCGTGTGGCGTCCTTCATACACCGCCGCACACATAGTGGACGCTCAGATGCTGCATATGACATTGAAGGGATTTCCGTGGGACACCATCTCGACTGTCCCAGGTAGCAAGTTCTTTGAAGTGCCCTTTAAATCCCCAAAGTCTAGCACTGGGCGTGGCACATAGACTGTGTTGAGAAGCTTCCAGCTCCCACAGCCACATGCCTCCTCTGAGTATTAAGTGACTGTTGAACTGAGCCGAACTGAATTGGGAGTTCTGGCCTGCGTTTCCAAGCTCAGGGTCAGGCCCTGAGGAGACCCTGTTTGGGGCGAGGCCTGCCATGTCTCCCTGGCTGCTCTTTGCAGCTGGAACAGCCCTGATGTGGATGGAGGCTTCTGAGCAAGTACGAGGTCTCCCTGCCATTTAGAATGTGCAAGCAGCCCGTAATTCTCTTGACTGGAAAACAAGTGCCCTAGCTCTATTTTTATGTTTTATTATACATAAAACTGTTGTCCTGGTCGGATGGCTCAGTTGGTTGGAGCATCGTCCCGTGCACCAAAAGGTTGCGGGTTCTGTTCCCAGTCAGGGCACATACCTAGTTTGTGAATTTGATCCTAGTCAGGCCGTGTATGGAAGGCAACCTATCAATGTTTCTCACATTGATGTCTGCTTCTCTCTCTCTGGCCCTCTCTCTCTCCCTTCCTCTAAAATCAATAATGTATCCTCGGGTGAGGATTTAAAACAAATAAATAAATAAAACGGTTACTCGCTTAGCCACATGTCCACTCCCCTAAAGAAACCCACAGCTGCCTCAGGCTTTGGAAGGCCTTTTAATTGAGTCCCAATAAGAAAGCCTGAGAGAAGGGTGAGTCCAGGACATTTTGTGGGGGGTCACCGTCTTGTTGCTCTTGACAGAGAGCGTCAGCATGGCAGCCTGCTTCCCCTCTGTCGGGGGCTGGTCGGGGGCAGAGCCGGCAGATGGCGGGGAAGGCGATGCTATTGGCCGCGCCAGAACAGAGCAGCTCCCCCGCCCCTCATCTTTATTGGATTTCAATGAGTCTTCCTGCCCTGGGTCATACGCGCAGGGCAGCCTCCTAAATGGCGCGCTGGAATTTCGCTCCCTTTGTACTGAGGGCCTCAAGCACACTCCATCGCCATTGTCGACCTTGAGTGGAGAAAATGCAGAGAGCCCGGCAGAACTCCTTCCTCCCGGGCAGCCCTGAGCTTTGGAACATGACTGTTCTGGAGAAAGGCACGAGCGAGTGAGGAGGCAGGTGGGGGAGGGCAGTGGAGGCCGCCTTTGCAGACTCCGTGGCCCCTGTGTGGCTGCCTTTGCCTGGAAACCCAGATCCTCACACTTCTCTGTGGAACGTTTCAGGGCCTTAAAGAGTATTGCGGGGCCTCACAGCTTTGCAGTTGTCAGATCCGAGGAGGGGTCCCAGGAGACATGTGGCCGTGGGAATTGGAAGGTTCTAGAAGGCACTTGGAGACCCTGTCTTCTGACCCCGAAGCTCAGGTGTTTCAGAACAAAAATTACTGGATTGAAAGGACACACGTCATTTTATCAAACCCTCTTGGTAGATGCCAGTTAAGTGCTTACTCTGTGCCCTTCATCTGCATCATTTTGAGTGCCCACTGTGTGCCAGCATGTGCTTCGGAGCCGGCTGTGCTGGGCTGAGGCCGTTGCAGGTGCAAAGACTTCAGAGGGCAGTGTCCTCCTACAGGTGAGGTGTGTACACAGGGTCAGATCTTCCTGATGAAGTTATCTCTGCACTTTTCCCCTGCCCCCCAAGAAGGGACACGAAGGGACCGCGGGGCAGGTGCTCTCTGCCTGTTCCTCAGCCGCGGAGTGGCAGAGGTTAGGCGTGAGTGCAGGGTCTCTAGTCCGAGGTGTAGATGTGCGTCTGTCACCTGGGACGATGGAGAAGAGGGCCCTGGAGCAGAGCAGGGCCGCTGTGGTGACCATGATTGCCTGTGGGATTGCCTGGCTTTGGCCTTCTGCATTGGAGCGTCACATTTCCCACATGGAGGTAGGTTTTGGTGGCTGCAAATTGCTACCTGTAATGGGGGGGCGGGGGAGTAATTAGAGAAGGAGCATTTTCCAGATACAAGGGCTAGGTCTTCAGGATGGAAGTCCCATAGCTCAAGGGGCCAGTGGCTGGGGGGCGGAAGGGTCCTCTGATGTGAGGAGAACATTTCTCTCCCTCGCTGTCCCTGCAGACCCCTTAGACCCCTCTCCTCTCTGAGGGCTGGAGTCTCTGTTTGTACAGTCGCTCAAAGGCATCAGCTTCTTCCTCACCCCGATTCCTCTGTGTCCCCACCACAAGATCATCCAGCTTGAATGCCCTGTTGTCAAGGTGCTCACTATCTCGCCATTGGCCGCCGGCCCTGGAGGAGAAGGTTCCTCTTCCTCCTGAGCTCAGAGCTGCCTCCCTCTAATGACTGTCGCCAGGGTCCCCCCTGCACAGGACCAGAGCGAAGGGGCAAGTCTAGCTCTGTTAGCTGCCGCCACGCTCGCCCCGACTAGGAAAATACTGCCCGCCGAAGTGTAAGTGTGTCACTGCCAGTCATGGTGCAAAGGCTCCAATCCGAGGGCCTTTCTAGGATCTTATCCTGATTAATTAGGTCAGCGTCTCCGAAATCAATTTCCAGTGACATCCCGCCGCCTGGTAGCGTGTTCCCGCCAGCCGGGCGAGGGAGTTGGCGGGGATGCGATTCCCTGGCCTCTGGTGCAGTTCAGGCCTCGTCTCCACCTGGGAAGAAAGTCCTATTACACATCTCTTCTGTGATTATCCTGACTTTTTATTTCATATGCCCTCCCCCTCAAATCTCCCATTAAACCCCTGTAGATCCCGCTTCAAACAGGCAATTAGACTAACAACGTAATTATATCCCTCAATGCTAATTGTAACTGGTTTAGGGGAAAAGCAAAGAGAAAGAGGCGTCAAAATCTCTGTAAACTAAAGGCAGCTATTAAAGTTTCCAGGTATTTCTTGTCCACGTGCCTTTCCTGAGAGCCCTGGCTGCCGGTGTCGGTGTCTGCGTAGCTTTGCAGTTGGCCCAGCTCACCCTTACGACACCCGTGGGCCTGTGTCCGCTGTCCTGAGCATGTGCTGTGGCACCCCTGTTCCTGCCCATCTGTGGTTTTCTGTCCTTCGCTCTCATTTCTCTGACTCTTTCTCCACCACTTTTATCCTCTGAGAAAAGAATGAACAGGCGAGGAGGTTGAAGGAAACTACATTTCTTCCATCTCTTGTCAATGCTCCATCAACCCCCCATGGCCATGGGTTGTTGGTCCATGTGATTCTCCCTCGTGGAGGCTGGGGAAGTCTGGGCAGAGCTGGACCTGGTCCCAGGGTTTGAGCCTGTTGTGTGACAAGGATGCCACAGGAAGACATCTCCTGCTACCCCACCCATTCTGAGCAGCTCTGGTCCCTACCTTGGGGCTGCCCATGGCCAGGGAAGGTGGCAGGCAGGTAGGTAGTTGAGCAGTGGGACCATTGGGAAGAGTATATATCAGAGGAGACCCAGCTCTGCCTTGGTTGGCCAGGGAGAGATGAGGGGTGGAGTAGGGTAGAGTAGGGATACTGAGAAGTTTCCTGGTGGGAGTGATGTCTAGGATGAGACTTGACTGAAGGAGGGGGAGGAGAGGTAGCCAGAGCAGGTGCAGGAAGCCTGGTGTGGCCGGAGCATTAGGCGTGAGGATTGTGCTGTGGCAGCTGGGAAGGAGTGTGGATTTTACCTTGGCAGGGGAAGGGGACTCGGTGAAGGTTTTAAACCGGGAATGACCGGGTCAGACTTTAATCTTAGAAAGACCAGAGAGGCTGCAGGTGGGGGCTGTTGGATTGGAGGACTTTGAATGGAGGCTGGAAGGAAGCCTGGGTGGTTTTTCTTGAGTGCTGACTGCCAGCCTGCAGACCTGCCGTGGTGGGGATGGACTAGTGCGTGACCCTGAGGTGGTCACTTCTCTGGGCCTCCCTTGCCTTGCCAATTAAAGCGAGGGTAGGCATGTTTCCTTTCCATGCTGTAGGGGGGCACATCAGAAAGATTCGGGTCTATAAGGTCTAGCTCCAGGCCCGACATAGAGTAGACATCAGAGCGGTACTTGTGAATAGGGAGTATGTACCGGAACGCACTTCCCAATATACCTGCCTCTCCTCTGTGGACTCCAGCGTTTCCAGAGGAGGCGAGCCCAGGGACTCACACTGTGTTGATGGACTCCTCTTGGGAACCCTAGTAGGGTCGATGGCTTTTCAGTTTTGTGCGTTCTCCCACCTTTGGTGTCAAGTCCCAAACCATGGCCTCCTGCCTCAGTGCAGTGCGCCATCTTCTTTTTCTCAGAAATGGGGTTTCCCAGCTTGATCATTGAATGTGCCCTTGGGTAACTGTCATTCATGTTGTCACCTCGGACATCCATGAGCTTGGGACCGCACTGTCTTTCGGTAAAGGTTCTCAAGTTCCCATGGCACCTGGCGCGGGCCATGCAGTGCCAGGTATTCTGTCCCTGGGTTTGCCATCAGTTATGCAGAAGGGACGATTTCATTAAAATTTCCATTAACTGTTTTTTTCCTTTCTTTTTCATTTTTTTTTAAAGCCAGTGAGCAATTTATAGATTCATTAACTTTTTACTACACTTGTGAAGCCAGGAAGAGGGGAATAAAGGAAATGAAATATTTGGTCCGCAACATATCACTAAAAGATGGTGGCCTTTAAATGCGGAGGATGACGAGCTGGGCAATTAGGAAAGTCTGGGATCTTCCAGAAGGATCCAGAACCGAAATATCGTGGCAAGAAACACCACCCCTTTCATCCCCTGCTCTCCCATCCCTGCCCCAGCCATAGCTGACCCAGCCACTGATTATTCTTTCACCAGATGGCTGCCCATCCTTTGATGACACAGCTCCCCTGGGGAGCTCACCGCCTCTGGACAAACTGCACCTCTGAGCATATTTCCTTATAGAGTGGTGCAATCTGACTCCTTATAGCTCTCATTTCCTCTCCTTCTGGGTGGGTGGGGGGTGGGGGGTTAGGTATGGCCTGATAGTTGGTGTGGCACATGGGCTTTGGGGCCAGACAAGCTTGGGTGCTAATACTAGCCCTGTTCCTTACTAGCTGTGTGATTTTGGGCAAGTAAAGTGGACCTTCACTGAGCCTCGGTTACTTTATCTATAATATTACAGTGTATTAGGAACTCTGGGAAGGCCCAGAGAAATGGCAGCCATATTCTTCACTGCACAGTTAGTTGTGAGGATAAAATGAGATGGTTTACTAAAGATGCCCAACCGACATTCACATTCCAGAGCATGCCATGTGGTGGGACTGCTCCTCTCCGAGCATTCTCACTTGGATCTGGTTCCCCACAACGGCCAGTCACTTTGCCTGTCAGGACCTCAGTTTCCCCAGTTATAACGTAGATGAATAATTCTTAGCTAATGAGGATGTTGGATGAGTTCAGACACATTTGATGAGCCTTGTAGAGTCCCTGGCACATAATAGTATCTCAATGCACTCAAGCAGTCTATAATTACTGTGGTCTGTTGTACTAAAAAGGCAACAGGCTTAAAGATTACCTCCCTCAAGAGCCTCTTAGAAAATCTAAGTGCTTGAAGGTGGTCTCAAGTTCATCTTGTTCAGCTCCCAGGTGGAGCTTGAATGCCCTGAGGGCTGAACTTCCCAGTGGATGATGTACCTGGGTCCAGCCACTATGTCTACTCAAGTGGCTGCATTCAGGAGGACAGACTGTAAATATAGGTCTTTAATCTGGAGAAGGATGTCATCCAGGAAGTCACCTTATCCCGAAACCTGCCATTATAGACGTGCAGTACATGTAAACTAGAGTGAGTTTTCCCTCAAAAGTAGTCATGATAGAAAGCTAAGCAGGAAGGAGGGGGAAAACTCATGTACTTCTGAGCCACCCAGGGCAAGTGCTTTTGGGGCTACTATATATGTGCATGTATGGTTTGTTTATATGAAATCATATGTGTATCTAGTTTTGATTCTGATCTTGTCATTTCACTTCAGCACTTAGGCATTTTTTTATTTAGCTCCTCACCATTTGTGAGCATCCATTCTAATGGCTTCCCGAGCATATATTTGTTGACACTGTTGTGCATATAGGTCGTTCCCCAGCTTTTATGATAAATAATGCAGTGGACATCTTTGTGCATGAATCCTTTTTCTTCTTTTAGGTGATAGTCATAGAATTTGTTCCTCCAAGTGGATTACTAGGTCAGAGGATATGAGGGTTGGTAAGTCTGTTGTGATAGTGCCAACTGAAAGGTGGCAGTGGATGTGACAGCTGAGTGCTTTGGAGATTCTCGTGGAAGAACTCCATTTGGGAGAGTTGACATGGTAGAATGCTGCCTTCTCATCGTCTGTCTTAGCTGGGTTGGTAGTTGCTGACTTGTTTTGTTTGCACTAAACCCTTTGGGTCAAGCAATGAGCTGGTGCCTGGGGTATTGACTTTTATGTGCCTAAAACACATAGTGCCCATGGTCGCAGGGCCTCACATTGGGCCTGACAAGGCAGCAAGAAGGCTAACACTCATGAAAGGAACTTGAAGGTTGTGTTTAAACACATGTGACCTTGAACGTGTTACCTCTACTCTGAGCCTTTGTTTTTCCCTCTGCACAACAGGCTTTCTGGCTCAAAGGACAATGAGAAAGTACTGTGTTTTGAGCACTAAGGTGTTGTCCATGAAGTCGATCAGGGAGAGTCTAGCGTAGTTTTGAATAGAGTGTTGGTGGTTGCCTGGTACAGTGCTTTGGATAGACTTCTGAGAATGATATAGTATCTTCAAATATCTCTTCTTAACCGTTAAGTCATTTGACTTTCTTTGGTTTTAATTAAATGTGGGCATTTTCCATATTCTGCTGCTTTGGCCATGAGGCGTGCTAACTGTTGGGGTTGTGGTGAGTTGACGTTTTGAAATGAGTTTTACAGCAGTGAAGAAATTACGATGGTAGCAGCGAGGACGGTGGTAGCCATTACTTACGTAGCGCTTAGTCTGTGCCAGGCACTCTTCTAAGAG